AATAAAAAGGCAAAACACCCGCTCAAATTACCGACGGAGTTCCGTCTCAGTCAGACAACAACACACTGGAACCGTGTTAACAGTGGGAAAACATTCTTAATGAACGTGTCTTAATTGCATGGTTATTACAGAGCTTGGGTGTGTGGTTGTTTTACTGAGGGGAGAGCACTGAGCGTTACGGAATTCTCTGCAGGAGGCGAAGTGAGCAAAGAAAGCCAGGTGATTGGTTTATACAAAATGCATTTGGCGATGCATGGGAACATTCACTAATATTAAAACAAAGAAATTATAAGGAAATAGTTACCTGCCTTGTTGTAAAATTATTAACAAGGTGACCATGGTGGAATCATTATGTGCGTTAAACATTTTCCTATGCCTATGTTTTTGTTTATTATTATCGAATATATTTAAGAAAACTCAGCATATTCAAATTGTCCACATTGAGTTTAAATTAAATGTCAGTTTTTTTATTACATTGATGATGCTGATAATAAAACAATAGGCCCATTAAGGTAATTGCATAATAATAATAATATATTATTGGGCCTATTAGGCCGAGCTACTTGCCATCCAGGACATCTTATAAGGCGGTGTGTTAGGAAGGACCAGAAAATCGTTAAAGAATCCGACCACCCAAGACATAGACTATTCTCTCTGCTTCTGCACGGAAAGCGATACCGGTGCATCAAGTCTGGCACCAACAGGCTCTTGAACAGCTTCTATCCCCCAGAAATAAGACGGACAAATAGCTAACAAAATAGCTACAATGACTATCTGAGTTAACCTAGCACACTCACAGGGCCCTACACACTCACACTCACACTCACTCCAACATCTTCTCACTCACACATAACATGCACATACATTTATACTGACTCTACACCCACGCACACCTTACCCCTGTACATACATTATCTACCTCCATCACTGCAGTATCCCTGCACATTGTAAATATGGTATTGGAACAGACCCTGCAGTATGCTTACTTACTTATTGTGTTTTTCATATTTCTTCTTATTTCTTATGTGTTTGTTTTCTAGTATTACATTGTTATTGATTATTGCATTGTTGGGTTTTGAGTTTGCAAGAAAGGCATTTCACTGTACTTGTGTATTTGACATTAAAACGTGAAACTATTCGTGGTTTCCATGATGTATTAGCCAATTATCATCATTTTTGTGAACATTAGTGTTGGGGGCAACCTAGAAAATAAAACTGCGAAAATATATAACATAAACTATAACACAATTGGTTAAAATTGTCTAACATGTAGAGCAAGATTGGACAATGACAGGGTGGGTATGTTACCTCTCGCCTTGGAAGTCCAAATTCAACCCGCTTTGTTATGCTAATTAAGCCTGACATCACCAGTGAGATCAAAGCCGCGCAGGAGTACTTATGAGTTGAGGCTGCCCCACTGCCATGAGTCCGACACATTCCGCAGCGCGAGACACACAACGCTGAATAAGCTGCGAGAGAGAAGAGATAGCCACTGTTGCTGGGGAGTAAACGATGCTTACCTCTTCTTTGGATTCATTTGAATTGCGAAATTGTGGATTTATACGAATTTGTGGAGGATATTGAATTCAAAAGGATATTACACGGAATTTATACTGACACGAATCATCATTAAAGGTGAGGAGCAATGGTCTAGTTTCATGACATGGCTATCAAAGTCTAAAGTTATCGATGACATGCTTATTTTCAGAGTTTTAAAGCTTTTAATTGGTTGAACACGAGTTAGGATATTTAAAGATTAGGCTATATCTTATAGTTTTACTCGTGATTTTAGTTTGGATAGATAATATCCAAGATATTTTCGAATAAAGACTCGAGTGTAGGCTATCTTATTACGTTGAACGTGCCTCAAACTACATTTAAAGTGTAACTTTATTTTCCTCTTGTTCCCACTGCGACTGAATAGAGGTAGAAGGCTATAATAACAAGGAGACAGCTTCAAACATGCAGATAGAGGGGAAATTGAAAGAGAACGATGTGGAATAAAGTTCCACTGTTTAGGTTGAGTGGCTGATATGGCTATAGTATACAAAGGGAATTTAATAGATATTTGTTGAAGGTGATCATAGGGAAAACTATTAATTTAGTTGACAGTTCCACCCCACACAAAATCCCAATGTAACCTCTGCATGCACAGAGCGGTTTCCCTCGCATAAACCCAATGCACCTTATATAAAATGGGAGATCGGGACAAATGGAACTACCACAACTTTAAGGTTTTGTAAAGAAATGTTAAATGTCTTTAAATGTTTAAGTGTTGAAGAAATGTTATTAATGTAAAATCGGATTTTCTTATCTAAACGGATTGCTTGCTGATAGTTGATTACTTGCTAACCGTTATACCACATGCGCTGTAGCTGAAATGTCCAAAGGGTCTGATGTAGCTCTCCTGTACAGCGTACCCAATTTAGATCACAATTCGCAAAAGGTCTATAAATTAGGCTATAGGTTTGTATTACACACATGGTTAGAGATGCTTAGGAAGATTTGTAACAGGGTGAAAATAAATTGAAATAATAGTGCTATTATACTGTCTTATTATTTGTGGTGATGAGACATATTTAAGCAACTATTATTTCCACTTTAAATATCACTATAATCAGTGAGATTAGTGTTTTGTTTGAGGTATAGAATTAAAGTTCTGTTCCTTATCATCACATGACAATAAAAAGCCCTATCTGATGGAGGTAATGCCCTGTAATGGATTTTTTTATATATTGTAACTCAATTGTGAGAATTTGTGAGAATCTATCAACTTTCGCAAGGGTTTCTGTAACATATGATTAGTGTTTCCCAAATGTATAATTTGAATTTATGAGCATACTCAGAAAAGTTGATGTGCTGCTAGTTTATGAAATGCAGGCTCAATAGCCCCTGCAGTGAGTGTTGTTGCACAGTGGGAAGGATGTGCACAAGAGTTCCACAATTAATCCATTTCTTGAAATAGGGTTTTAGATTTCTCTATTACTTTTCCACTATACATATGAAATGTGGCAGTGAACAAAACCATTATAGCATAGATTATAAAATTATCTTTTGCCATTTTGTTTTGAATAGTGTGGAGTGTTCTTTTAATGGTGTATATTTCTATTCCACCAAACAGGGGAAAGAGGGAGAGACGGTGCCATGGCAGTTGACTTGTGATTGCACCTATAAGAGCCTAAAAGCCAACAGCCACCTGCATTACTGTCATCTCTAAGTTGGAACATTATCATTATGAAGAAAACGCCTAACACCCTCCCACTCTGTCTGCTTACCATTCTGCTGCTGTCCCAGATCTGCTCCGGCATCAAATGGCTGTAAGGACCTTTTATTTTGTATTTTATGTGTGTGCATTTTTCCTTTTGCTTTACTGTTTATTGTGGCCTATATTGTGCATAGGCAGTAAAACAGAAGCTGGGGCTCTCCAAGTCCTTCTTGTTTCCTACTGTATTTAATCTAAACCTGCAGAAAAATAGAATAGAATTTAACTTTATTGTCCATCTGAGGATGAACATTTGCCACATTTTCTGTTGGTAAACTAAAAGAAAGGCTGTGCATTATGTCAGTCCAGGTTCTCCATTTGTCTCATGATGAATGTTAATGAGAAGATTTGAACGGGAATTATGGGGTAAAAAGTGAATCTGTTGGAACAGAGTACTCGAAAGCAACAGGCAGCTTGTGTGTTAAACATCATTATAACCAAGAGTGACATAATTTGGAAGTTTTCCCCTTAGATATACAAATTCCTTATTGATTTTGGTACATATTTCTATTCCGTTCATAGATTGATGGACATTTTAGGCCTGCACATGATTTGGGATGGTTATTTACCATCTGTAGCATCTGAAACCTATGAGTGAGTTGTTGTAAGATTTCTATAGGCTATAACAGTCGAACAGTAAATGTGCCTCAGAGAGAGTGAGATGGAGATTGCATGACATTGTGCTAAATCCTATAGTAGAAAGGGTCTCTCCCAACCTTGATATTGCTACGGGGCCTGGATGTGAACCAGATGGGGCCATAAACACCTGTGAGCTCTGGGTTACCATGAGCACAGCGGAGTCTGTCACAACTTATCGTTGGGCATGGAGTGGCCGCTCCTCTAGCTCCTAATCCGAAACAGGCCAAAGTGCAGGAGGCACTGGCTGGTTCTCACGGAACTCTCTCTCCCTCGCAGTGCTGCAGCAAGACATAGAAAGCAGAGATCAGACACTGACTGACTGACTGACCAGGTTCTCTGGTGGTTTTTCTATTAACTAATCTTCTGTTCTGTCTAAGTGCAAATCAAGTATGTGTGCCACCCTTTTAGATTTCCGTAATCAGATGATTTATGTCAAACTAAAGTCTCGGTAGAATGCAATCCTTTAACAATGAAGAATGTAAATGATGATAGATGGATAGATGTAGTGCTGTCAGTTAGATCTGGGTCAGGCTTTTTGCCTATGATGAATTAATCATTTGGCATGTTCTGGAACCTCTGCTGAAGTAAATCAGGAGAGTAGTCTTATGCCAAGCTGTGGTCTGTTATGTTTTACCTGTTCGTGACTTCTTGAGAGATTTCCATTGGCATCCTCTCTTTGGTATTTTGGTATCTTCCAAGTCAAGTGGTACGAATGCCAACATTTAAAAAAGTTCCAACAGTTGATTGGTTCAAAACATGTGTGAGGCACAATAGTTCAGTATATGGCATAACTATAGTTATGGGCCTAAAAAGTTAATGTATGTTAGAAGTGAGAAAATGACTTTCAGCAATGGCATCGGCTTTTGCATTCATAAAATAATGTCAATAATTTCAAAATCATAAAACTTAGCAATATTTTCTATCCTTGGAATTTTGATGATTTACTATTTTTTTGACAGTGATAGGAACACCTCCCCTGAGTTGACAGCCATCATATTAAGTACTATAATAATTGAAACATCTGTTTGGCTGTTGCTCTATTGGAGCCATGCGTTTTCCCTTTGGTTTGGGTTCTTGTCGTGTTGGTTATTTACCTAGACGTATCACACACACCCACGTCCGTACACATCAACCAGACCCATTTTGCAACGGCAAAGCTGCTGGCCTCCCCGGCCTGGTGTCATCACAAGCCCAACTGTGTCGGAGCAACCTGGAGCTCATGCAGACCATCATCGCTGCAGCCCGCGAGGTCAAGAAGACCTGCCAGAAGACCTTCGCTGACATGCGTTGGAACTGTTCCTCTATTGATATCCCCAGTGACTCCTTGAGGTATCGTCCGGACCTTGACAGAGGTAGGCCTACTAGTCACAATCTAGGGGAGACGGGTTGGTTATCACACATTTTACTCTTGTGTGTATTTCTCAGCACCAGTATATCTTACAAGCCTTTTCAATATTAGGAGAAAGACCAAGGTCTTGGGTTGAAATGGGGACCCTCATATCTTATTCCAACATGGAGTTATACGCCTTCAAACACACTATGTCCACTTGTGACAACCAGCCCTATCGCGGGATTGGATGTCACACAGTACGTTGTTGGTTGTCACAATGTTTGCTAGTAGCTTATTCGTTTGTAACAGGAAATGAAGCAATATAGCATACAGAGTCTTAGAAATAGCCTTTCTTTGATCGAAAGATATTCCTAATAAATTCAACATTTTATGCTGTGAGAAAAACATGTGACATTTTGAGTAAATGTGTGTGTATGTGTGTGTTTGCACAAGCATGTGTGCGTGTGTGGGTGTGTGACGGAATAAATATGTGTGTGAGAGAGCGGCAACGAAGGGAGCTTTTTATAGCACAAGCACAAAAGAGCTTGGGATTTATTATAATGGAGTTGAGTGACAACCAACCCTAATGCTAATAAAGATGCTAGTTACCATATGGTTGGACCTAAGATCTCAGAAAATAGGTTTGAAATATAGCTCTCCCTTTCCTCTTTTCAACAAACATAATTGTTCATGGATACTCTCATAATTAAAACAAAAAAGTAAAGAAAATCCCCCCTCACCTATGAAAAACACAAATTCCCCTCACCTCAATGTTTGTCATGCTGACATGAATTGACCAGGTGGATAAGTTATTTTAAAGAATTCACACATGTTAACCTTACAAATATTAAACACAGTGCTATTTAAATTGGGAGTAATAACAACCAACCCAAGATTCTCTCTGGTGTTTACAGAACATTGGTGCTGTGACATTAGGATAGAGTGGCTTGCGAAACTATTCACCCCCCTTGGCATTTTTCCTATTTTGTTGCCTTACAACCTGGAATTAAAATGGATTTTTGGGGGGGGGTTGCATCATTTGATTTACACAACATGCCTACCACTTTGAAGATGCAAAATAATTTTTGGGGTTGAAACAAACAAGAAATAAGACAAAAAAACAGAAACCTTGAGCGTACATAACTATTCACCCCCCCCAAAGTCAATACTTTGTAAAGCCACCTTTTGCAGCAATTACAGCTGCATGTCTCTTGGGGTATGTCTCTATAAGCTTGGCACATCTAGCCACTGGGATTTTTGCCCATTCTTCAAGGCAAAACTGCTCCCGCTCCTTCAAGTTGGATGGGTTCCGCTGGTGTACAGCAATCTTTAAGTCATACCACAGATTCTCAATTGGATTGAGGTCTGGGCTTTGACTAGGCCATTCCAAGACATTTAAATGTTTCCCATTAAACCACTCAAGTGTTGCTTTAGCAGTATGCGTAAGGTCATTGTCCTGCTGGAAGGTGAACCTCCGTCCCAGTCTCAAATCTCTGGAAGACTGAAAAAGGTTTCCCTCAAGAATTTCCCTGGATTTAGCGCCATCCATCATTCCTTCAATTCTGACCAGTTTCCCAGTCCCTGCCGAAGAAAAACATCCCCAAAGCATGATGCTGACACCACCATGCTTCACTGTGGGGATGGTGTTCTCTGGGTGATGAGAGGTGCTGGGTTTGCGCCAGACATAGCGTTTTCCTTGATGGCCAAAAAGCTCAATTTTAGTCTCATCTGACCAGAGTACCTTCTTCCATACGTTTGGGGAGTCTCCCACATGCCTTTTTGTCGAACACCAAACGTGTTTGCTTCTTTTTTTCTTTAAGCAATGGCTTTTTTCTGGCCACTCTTCCGTAAAACCCAGCTCTGTGGAGTGTACGGCTTAAAGTGGTCCTATGGACAGATACTCCAATCTCCGCTGTGGAGCATTGCAGCTCCTTCAGGGTTATCTTTGGTTTCTTTGTTGCCTCTCTGATTAATGCCCTCCTTGCCTGGTCCGTGAGTTTTGGTGGGCGACCCTCTCTTGGCTGGTTTGTTGTGGTGCCATATTCTATCAATCTTTTAATAATGGATTTAATGGTGCTCTGTGGGATGTTCAAAGTTTCAGATGTTTTTTAATAACCCAACCCTGATCTGTACTTCTCCACAACTTTGTCCCTGACCTGTTTGGAGAGCTCCTTGGTCTTCATGGTGCCGCTTGCTTGGTGGTGCCCCTTGCTTAGTAGTGTTGCAGACTCTGGGGCCTTTCATAACAGGTATATACAGTGGGGAGAACAAGTATTTGATACACTGCCGATTTTGCAGGTTTTCCTACTTACAAAGCATGTAGAGGTCTGTAATTTTTTATCATAGGTACACTTCAACTGTGAGAGACGGAATCTAAAACAAAAATCCTGAAAATCACATTGTATGATTTTTAAATAATTAATTTGCATTTTATTGCATGACATAAGTATTTGATACATCAGAAAAGCAGAACATAATATTTGGTACAGAAACCTTTGATTGCAATTACAGAGATCATACGTTTCCTGTAGGTCTTGACCAGGTTTGCAGACACTGCAGCAGGGATTTTGGCCCACTCCTCCATACAGGCCTTCTCCAGATCCTTCAGGTTTCGGGGCTGTCGCTGGGCAATACGGACTTTCAGCTCCCTCCAAAGATTTTCTATTGGGTTCAGGTCTGGAGACTGGCTAGGCCACTCCAGGACCTTGAGATGCTTCTTACGGAGCCACTCCTTAGTTGCCCTGGCTGTGTGTTTCGGGTCATTGTCATGCTGGAAGACCCAGCCACGAACCATCTTCAATGCTCTTACTGAGGGAAGGAGGTTGTTGGCCAAGATCTCGCGATACATGGCCCCATCCATCCTCTCCTCAATACGGTGCAGTCGTCCTGTCCCCTTTGCAGAAAAGCATCCCCCCAAAGAATGATGTTTCCACCTCCATGCTTCACGGTTGGGATGGTGTTCTTGGGGTTGTACTCATCCTTCTTCTTCCTCCAAACACGGCGAGTGGAGTTTAGACCAAAAAGCTCTATTTCTGTCTCATCAGACCACATGACCTTCTCCCATTCCTCCTCTGGATCATCCAGATGGTCACTGGCAAATTTCAGACGGGCCTGGACATGCGCTGGCTTGAGCAGGGGGACCTTGCGTGCGCTGCAGGATTTTAATCCATGACGGCGTAGTGTGTTACTAATGGTTTTCTTTGAGACTGTGGTCCCAGCTCTCTTCAGGTCATTGACCAGGTCCTGCCGTGTAGTTCTGGGCTGATCCCTCACCTTCCTCATGATCATTGATGCCCCACGAGGTGAGATCTTGCATGGAGCCCCAGACCGAGGGTGATTGACCGTGATCTTGAACCTCTTCCATTTTCTAATAATTGCGCCAACAGTTGTTGCCTTCTCACCAAGTTGCTTGCCTATTGTCCTGTAGCCCATCCCAGCCTTGTGCAGGTCTACAATTTTATCCCTGATGTCCTTACACAGATCTCTGGTCTTGGCCATTGTGGAGAGGTTGGAGTCTGTTTGACTGAGTGTGTGGACAGGTGTCTTTTATACAGGTAACGAGTTCAAACAGGTGCAGTTAATACAGGTAATGAGTGGAGAACAGGAGGGCTTCTTAAAGAAAAACTAACAGGTCTGTGAGAGCTGGAATTCTTACTGGTTGGTAGGTGATCAAGTACTTACAGTGGGGAAAAAAAGTATTTAGTCAGCCACCAATTGTGCATGTTCTCCCACTTAAAAAGATGAGAGAGGCCTGTAATTTTCATCATAGGTACACGTCAACTATGACAGACAAAATGAGAAAAAAAAATCCAGAAAATCACATTGTAGGATTTTTTATGAATTTATTTGCAAATTATGGTGGAAAATAAGTATTTGGTCAATAACAAAAGTTTCTCAATACTTTGTTATATACCCTTTGTTGGCAATGACACAGGTCAAACGTTTTCTGTAAGTCTTCACAAGGTTTTCACACACTGTTGCTGGTATTTTGGCCCATTCCTCCATGCAGATCTCCCCTAGAGCAGTGATGTTTTGGGGCTGTCGCTGGGCAATACGGACTTTCAACTCCCTCCAAATATTTTCTATGGGGTTGAGATCTGTAGACTGGCTAGGCAACTCCAGGACCTTGAAATGCTTGTTACGAAGCCACTCCTTCGTTGCCCGGGTGATGTGTTTGGTCATGCTGAAAGACCCAGCCACATTTCATCTTCAATGCCCTTGCTGATGGAAGGAGGTTTTGACTCAAAATCTCACGATACATGCCCCATTCATTCTTTCTTTTACACGGATCAGTCGTCCTGGTCCCTTTGCTGAAAAACAGCCCCAAAGCATGATATTTCCACCCCCATGCTTCACAGTAGGTATGGTGTTCTTTGGATGCAACTCAGCATTCTTTGTCCTCCAAACACGACGAGTTGAGTTTTTACCAAAAAGTTCTATTTTGGTTTCATCTGACCATATGACATTCTCCCAATCCTCTTCTGGATCATCCAAATGCACTCTAGCAAACTTCAGACGGGCCTGGACATGTACTGGCTTAAGCAGGGGGACACGTCTGGCACTGCAGGATTTAAGTCCCTGGCAGCGTAGTGTGTTACTGATGGTAGGCTTTGTTACTTTGGTCCCAGCTCTCTGCAGGTCATTCACTAGGTCCCCCCGTGTGGTTCTGGGATTTTTGCTCACCGTTCTTGTGATCATTTTGACCCCACGGGGTGAGATCTTGCGTGGAGCCCCAGATCGAGGGAGATTATCAGTGGTCTTGTATGTCTTCCATTTCCTAATAATTGCTCCCACAGTTGATTTCTTCAAACCAAGCTGCTTACCTATTGCAGATTCAGTCTTCCCAGCCTGGTGCAGGTCTACAATTTTGTTTCTCGTGTCCTTTGACAGCTCTTTGGTCTTGGCCATAGTGGAGTTTGGAGTGTGACTGTTTGAGGTTGTGGACAGGTGTCTTTTATACTGATAACAAGTTCAAACAGGTGCCATTAATACAGGTAACGAGTGGAGGACAGAGGAGCCTCTTAAAGAAGAAGTTACAGGTCTGTGAGAGCCAGAAATCTTGCTTGTTTGTAGGTGACCAAATACTTATTTTCCACCATAATTTGCAAATAAATTCATAAAAAATCCTACAATGTGATTTTCTGGATTTTTTTTCCTCAATTTCTCTGTCATAGTTGACGTGTACCTATGATGAAAATTACAGGCCTCTCTCATCTTTTTAAGTGGGAGAACTTGCACAATTGGTGGCTGACTAAATACTTTTTTCCCCCACTGTATGTCATGCAATAAAATGCAAATTAATTACTTAAAAATCATACAATGTGATTTTCTGGATTTTTGTTTTAGATTCCGTCTCTCACAGTTGAAGTGTACCTATGATAAAAATTACAGACCTCTACATGCTTTGTAAGTAGGAAAACCTGCAAAATCGGCAGTGTATCAAATACTTGTTCTCCCCACTGTATATACTGAGATCATGTGACTCTTAGATTACACACAGGTGGACTTTATTTAACTAATTATGTGACTTCGGAAGGTAATTGGTTGCACCAGATCTTATTTAGGGGCTTCATAGCAAAGGGGGTGAATACATATGCACGCACCACTTTTCCGTTATTAATTTTTTTGAATTTTTTGAATCAAGTTATTTTTTGAATTTCACTTCACCAATTTGGATTATTTTGTATATGTCCATTACATGAAATCCAAAGAAAAATCCATTTAAATTACAGGTTGTAATGCAACAAAATAGGAAAAACGCCAAGGGGGATGAATACTTTTGCAAGGAACTGTATTAGGGCCTGCTTAGAGAAAGCAATTGTAGCAGTAGAGAATGTATGAGAAAAAATGAATGGCTGAAGTATTGATGATGATTATGAGTATATGATGCATGGAATGTTAAAGTATAAGTGTATGACTGCGTGTATTCTTATTTTTAAATGTATGTAGTTCTGTCCTTGAGCTGTTCATGTCTATTAATGTTCTGTATTATGTCATGTTTTATGTTTTGTGTGGACCCCAGGAAGAGTAGCTGCTGCTTTAGCAGTAACTAATGGGGATATTAATAAAATGCCAAATACCAAAACCCATGAGACAACAAACCACAGTCTCCCCTACTGTTTATGGTGGTTAAAACTAGGAGGAGAATAAGGGGGAAAAACTCTAGCACACTGCAGTAAACTACATGAAGATCGATTGATTGAAATGGTGGTGTAAGATCCATTGTGCTAGGTGTGCAACCTATACGTTTTTTTCAATAGATCACTAGGAGTGATCATCTCAGACCAAATTATCAGCACAGTAGAAACTCTGTGTCCTTGGTGGGATTCAAAAAGCTAATCCAAGTGTTGCAGGAGATCATTTACAAGAGAGAGTTTAAAGCCTTAATCATCGTCCTTGGTGGTCTTTTGTGCTCTGAGGGCAGAGCAGACTGTGCCAAGCAAAGGCTACCCTTCTTCTTTGTGTCGCCTTGAAAGAAAGAAAATTGTCCTCTATCACCCTAGCCACCCACCTCCCTAATATCCGTGCTACAAAGTCCTTCTCTTTATGTTACAAGTACTTGGTGTGGTTTTCTTCATATCTTAACAGTGCCTTGACTCACTTTTGTGGCACAATATATTCCATTCTTCATGTGAGAGATAGTATTGAGTTTGACAGTGACTATTAGAAGTGATCTAGACATCTTTTTTGTGGCATCTCATCCTTCTCAGTTTTAAATTCCTTTTACGTGATACATTACCTACACGCATCTGGTTTTCTATAGTAATGCAAGATGTTAAATATTATCAGCGAACTCAACTGAACATACGTCTTATGAATAGGCAGGCTCTTAGTTGCTCCCTCCAGTACAAAGCATTAGTAATGTATACAGTACGTGCCTACAGATTTTGCTCGATCATCGTCTCATTATATGCACACTCCTTTCAATGACTTGTCTGAGAGTCTTTCCGTGTTCTGGACTTCTACTTTGATGGGTTTATTTCCATTGCCAAAAGGATCTTTGCTGAGCCAGACAGAGCCAATGTTAGTTCCAGTTTTACTGAGTTTGGGTGAAGATATACAGTGGGGAGAACAAGTATTTGATACACTGCCGATTTTGCAGGTTTTCCTACTTACAAAGCATGTAGAGGTCTGTAATTTTTATCATAGGTACACTTCAACTGTGAGAGACGGAATCTAAAACAAAAATCCAGAAAATCACATTGTATGATTTTTAAGTAATTCATTTGCATTTTATTGCATGACATAAGTATTTGATCACCTACCAACCAGTAAGAATTCCAGCTCTCACAGACCTGTTAGTTTTTCTTTAAGAAGCCCTCCTGTTCTCCACTCATTACCTGTATTAACTACACCTGTTTGAACTCGTTACCTGTATAAAAGACACCTGCCACACACTCAATCAAACAGACTCCAACCTCTCCACAATGGCCAAGACCAGAGAGCTGTGTAAGGACATCAGGGATAAAATTGTAGACCTGCACAAGGCTGGGATGGGCTACAGGACAATAGGCAAGCAGCTTGGTGAGAAGGCAACAACTGTTGGCGCAATTATTAGAAAATGGAAGAAGTTCAAGATGACGGTCAATCACCCTCGGTCTGGGGCTCCATGCAAGATCTCACCTCGTGGGGCATCAATGATCATGAGGAAGGTGAGGGATCAGCCCAGAACTACGGCAGAACCTGGTCAATGACCTGAAGAGAGCTGGGACCACAGTCTCAAAGAAAACCATTAGTAACACACTATGCCGTCATGGATTAAAATCCTGCAGCGCACGCATGGTCCCCCTGCTCAAGCCAACGCATGTCCAGGCCCGTCTGAAATTTGCCAGTGACCATCTGGATGATCCAGAGGAGGAATGGGAGAAGGTCATGTGGTTTGATGAGACAAAAATAGAGCTTTTTGGTCTAAACTCCACTCGCCGTGTTTGGAGGAAGAAGAAGGATGAGTACAACCCCAAGAATAGCATCCCAACCATGAAGCATGGAGGTGGAAACATCATTCTTTGGGGATGCTTTTCTGCAAAGGGGACAGGACGACTGCACCGTATTGAGGGGAGGATGGATGGGGCCATGTATCGCGAGATCTTGGCCAACAACCTCCTTCCCTCAGTAAGAGCATTGAAGATGGGTCGTGGCTGGGTCTTCCAGCATGACAACGACCCGAAACACACAGCCAGGGCAACTAAGGAGTGGCTCCGTAAGAAGCATCTCAAGGTCCTGGAGTGGCCTAGCCAGTCTCCAGACCTGAACCCAATAGAAAATCTTTGGAGTGAGCTGAAAGTCCGTATTGCCCAGCGACAGCCCCAAAACCTGAAGGACCTGAAGTTCTGCTTTTCTGATGTATCAAATACTTATGTCATGCAATAACATGCCAATTAATTACTTAAAAATCATACAACGTGATTTTCTGGATTTTTGTTTTAGATTCCGTCTCTCACGGTTGAAGTGTACCTATGATAAAGATTGCAGACCTCTACATGCTTTGTAAGTAGGAAAACCTGCAAAATCGGCAGTGTATCAAATACTTGTTCTCCCCACTGTATATATATATATTAAAAAAACACAACAAAGAGCTGGCTCCTAATCAAAGGTTTAAGGAGATAGCTCCACGATGATACGACTCAGGAAAAGACAAGCTCCATCTGTCAACTGTTAGACCAGTCTTAAGAAGCCCCTGGCCGACTATAGACTAGTGGTCTTCTTCATACAGGGATGTTTTTGTGGTCTGGCTGGTTCTTCCTGTCTCCTACCTCCATCGTCCAGCATTGACATATCTGCCCTCTGTGTGTACACACTTCATCACCTATATTACATCCATATGATCCACTCCGGCTGTATAACCATATCTGTCTAGTGACTCTCTCATGTTACCCTTACTGAGGTTTCACTTGGAAAACTGTTCGATGATACAATAGATAAAGGTTAGATGAATGGAAAACAAAAATTATACTCACTGATGTCTTTTCCCTCACTCAAAAGGCCTTGTCTTGTTCCCAACAGGCACGAGGGAGTCAGCATTCGTGTATGCCCTGTCTGCGGCGGCCATCAGCCACACCATAGCGCAGGCGTGCACGTCGGGGGACCTGCGGCTGTGTTCGTGTGGCCCCATCCCCGGGGAGATCCCTGAGCCGGGCTACCGCTGGGGTGGCTGTGCAGACAACCTGCACTACGGCCTGGTCATGGGCTCCAAGTTCTCTGACGCCCCCATGAAGATGAAGAAGGCAGGCTCCCACGCCAACAAGCTGATGCACCTGCACAACAGTGAAGTGGGGAGACAGGTACAAAGTCATCTTATTATCACAGATCACTGATGACTTACTGTTCATTCTATGTAGTAGTATTCAGAGGTGGGACCAAGTCACTATTATTCGAGTCACAAGCAAGTCTCAAGTCACAAGGTCCGAGTCTCAAGTCGAGTCCCAAGTAGAACGAGCCGAGTCTCGAGTCAAATCTAAGTTTTTTCAAGTCAAGTCTCAAGTCAAGTTTTTAAAAAAATCTATACATGCAATGACTGTTTATTGAGGCTTCCAGATAGCCCTTTTCATTATTTTGTCTATAACACATTTAGATTATTTTATAATATATTTTTGCAACTAATTCCAAATGTATACATTTCAAGCAGTTTTGACACACCAAAATACCAGTAGCTAGGCCTATGCTAGTAATTGTTGATTGATGCCCCATTGCTGGTGAGCTTGCAAAGTAAAAAGTTAATATTCTTGATCACCAAACAAATTATGGAGCTAGATATTTATTTATGGTAATCCTCTCTCCCTAGCTAGCTCAGTGGTTCTCAAACTTTTTGACCCAAAAGCCCCAAAAAGAAGTGGTTGAAAGCTTGCGACCCACACACACACACACATGCCTGATGCACATACAGTGAGGTAAAAAAGTATTTGATCCCCTGCTGATTTTGTATGTTTGCCCACTGACAAAGACATGATCAGTCTATAATTTTAATGGTAGGTTTATTTGAACAGTGAGAGACATAATAACAACAAAATAATCCAGAAAAATGCATGTCAAAAAAGTATTTGACCCCCTCTCAATCAGAAAGATTTCTGGCTCCCAGGTGTCTTTTATACAGGTAACGAGCTGAGATTAGGAGCACACTCTTAAAGGGAGTTCTCCTAATCTCAGTTTGTTACCTGTATAAAAGACACCTGTCCACAGAAGCAATCAATCAATCAGATTCCAAACTCTCCACAATGGCCAAGACCCAAGATATCTCCAAGGATGTCAGGGACAAGATTGTAGACCTACACAAGGCTGGAATGGGCTACAAGACCATCGCCAAGCAGCTTGGTGAGAAGGTGACAACAGTTGGTGCGATTATTCGCAAATGGAAGAAACACAAAATAACTGTCAATCTCCCTCGGCCTGGGGCTCCATGCAAGATCTCACCTCGTGGAGTTGCAATGATCATGAGAACGGTGAGGAATCAGCCCAGAACTACACGGGAGGATCTTGTCAATGATCTCAAGGCAGCTGGGACCATTGTCACCAAGAAAACAATTGGTAACACACTATGCCGTGAAGGACTGAAATCCTGCAGCGCCTGCAAGGTCCCCCTGCTCAAGAAAGCACATATACAGGCCCGTCTGAAGTTTGCCAATTAACATCTGAATGATTCAGAGGAGAACTGGGTGAAAGTGTTGTGGTCAGATGAGACCAAAATGGAGCTCTTTGCCATCAACTCAACTCGCCGTGTTTGGAGGAGGAGGAATGCTGCCTATGACCCCAAGAATACCATCCCCACCGTCAAACATGGAGGTGGAAACATTATGCTTTGGGGGTGTTTTTCTGCTAAGGGGACAGGACAACTTCACCCCATCAAAGGGACGATGGACGGGGCCATGTACCGTCAAATGTTGCGTGAGAACCTCCTTCCCTCAGCCAGGGCATTAAAAATGGGTCGTGGATGGGTATTCCAGCATGACAATGACCCAAAACACACGGCCAAGGCAACAAAGGAGTGGCTCAAGAAGAAGCACATTAAGGTCCTGGAGTGGCCTAGCCAGTCTCCAGACCTTAATCCCATAGAAAATCTGTGGAGGGAACTGAAGGTTCGAGTTGCCAAACGTCAGCCTCGAAACCTTAATGACTTGGAAAAGATCTGCAAAGAGGAGTGGGACAAAATCCCTCCTGAGATGTGTGCAAACCTGGTGGCCAACTACAAGAAACGTCTGACCTCTGTGATTGCCAACAAGGGTTTTGCCACCAAGTACTAAGTCATGTTTTGCAGAGGTGTCAAATACGTATTTCCCTCATTATAATGCAAATACATTTATAACATTTTTGACATGCATTTTTCTGGATTTTTTTGTTGTTATTCTGTCTCTCACTGTTCAAATAAACCTACCATTAAAATTATAGACTGATCATGTCTTTGTCAGTGAGCAAACGTACAAAATCAGCAGGGGATCAAATACTTTTTTCGCTCACTGTACGCTAACACGCGCACACAATCGCTGCGCAAATGTAGCCTGTCATTACAGCCATTACAGCCATTCCTGTTAGCAGCCAATAACAACTAGGGATATCATGTCACTTCTTTGAGTCCAGAGCAAGCAAAAACATACGGCCGACCTGTATGCAGCGGAGGTTGCAGGATCGACTGGAAAGCATTGTCTGTCTGCACAGCACGCTTAGCACTATCACTTTGGAGGGTCGCCTGCCTGCCGAATGCTCGTTGCCAACTGAACTGGGTAGCCCTTTTCTTCCTCACAAATACCGTAATTAATTCACCAGAATATGTTACATTTTCATCCCATAATATTGAAGGCAGTGCAATGTTACAGCTATCCTTAGACATGATATAGCCAGTAGCCACCCAAACTAGGCCTATCTGAAATATGAAATTATCAATGAAATCGCCAGGTAGCCTATTGTTCTGGCAAAGATGCCTCCGTAGTTGATTTCTAAACTGTATATTATATGGATAAATAATATAAATGTAGGCCCACTCAGTTTTTGCAAAACTGGAGAAAATAATGCAGGTGCTTTCTGGTCACTAATCTCTGGATATACTTGCTCGTCTTTACGTGCCAATGCTGATGACTGGTCATTGGTCAACAATCAAGACCTGCAACTTTTTGGTTCTGAAGCACAGATTAGATGTTTTTGAGACAATAATTTGGTATAATACCGTAGGGTAGGCCTATATTAGAAACCAGATCAAGTAGGCAAAGGTATATACACTATATATAAAATACAAATGGTAGGCTATATGTAGCCTATTAAAATATGTATGAAGAATATGTATTTTTCCCATTCAGTTTCATACTCGCGACCCCCCAAAACGTGGAGAGTAATCCACAGAGACTCTGTGCCACACAATGAGTGAAAACATTTTACAAAACCTAGCCAGATAATTTCAAGGCATCAGTCTCAAGTCAACGTCGGGTCACGAGTCTTGAGGCTAGTAGTAGTAGTAGTAGTCGCAGTAGGAGTAGCAGTAGTAGTTTGGCTTGAAAGATGGATATATGGATGACTATTTGGGCATACAGTGCATTCTGAAAGTATTCAGACCCCTTTACTTTTTCCACATTTTGTTACGTTACAGCCTTATTCTAAAATTGATTAAATTGTTTTTTCCCCTCATCAATCTACACACAATACCCCATCATGACAAAGCAAAAACAGATTTTTTTGAATTTGTGCAAATGTATTAAAAATAGAATACATACAGTAAGTATTCCGACCCTTTACTCAGTACTTTGTTGAAGCACCTTTGGCAGCGATTACAGCCTCGAGTCTGCTTGGGTATGACGCTACAAGCTTGGCACACTTGTATTTGGGGAGTTTCTCCTATTCTTCTCTGCAGATCCTCTCAAGCTCTGTCAGGTTGGATGGGGAACGTCGCTGCACACCTATTTTCAGGGCTCTCCAGAGATGTTCGATCGGGTTCAAGTCCTAGCTCTGGCTGGGCCACTCAAGGACATTCAGAGACTTGTCTTCCTGTTGGAAGGTGAACCTTCGCCCCAGTCTGAGGTCCTGAGCGCACTGGAGCAGGTTTTCATCAAGGATCTCTCTGTACTTTGCTCCGTTCATCTTTCCCTCGATCCTGACTAGTCCCCCAGTCCCTGCTGCAAAACATCCCCACAGCATGATGCTGCCACTACCATGCTTCACCCTAGGGATGGTGCCAGGTTTCCTCCAGATGTGACGCTTGGCATTCAGGCCAAAGAGTTCAATCTTGGTTTCATCAGACCAGAGAATCTTGTTTCTCATGGTCTGAGAGTCCTGTATGTGTCTTTTGGCAAACTCCAAGCGCGCTGTCATGTGCCTTTTACTGAGGAGTGGCTTCCGTATGGCCACTCTACCATAAAGGCCTGATTGGTGGAGTGCTGCAGAGTGGTTTGTCCTTCTGGAAGGTTCTCCCATCTCCACAGAGGAACTCTGGAGCTCTGTCAGAGTGACCATCGGGTTCTTGGTCACCTCCCTGACAAAAGCCCTTCTCCCCCGATTGCTCAGTTTGGCCAGGCGGCCAGCTCTAGGAAGAGTCTTTGTGCTTCCAAACTTCTTCCATTTAAGAATGATGGAGGCCACTGTGTTTTTGGGGACCTTCAATTCTGCAGAAATATTTTGGTACCCTTCCCCAGATCTGTGCCTCGACACAATCTTGTCTCGGAGCTCTACGGCCAATTCCTTTGACCTCATGGCTTGGTTTTTGCTCTGACATGCCCTGTCAACTGTGGGACCTTATACAGACAGGTGTGTGCCTTTCCAAATCATGTCCAATCAATTGAATTTACCACAGGGGTATTGTGTGTAGATTGCTGAGATTTTTTAATTTTTTTAATCAATTTTAGAATAAGGCTGTAATGTAACAAAATATGGAAAAAGTAAAGGGGTCTGAATACTTTCCGAATGCTGTATATAGCTCTTGTCAGGGCCTATTACTGTAAATCAATCCCTTTGTGCAATCTTTGACATATTTTCTGCTATAGCATTAGCCTCAATAGGAACAGTGTTTTACGTTCACGTCCTCCATCTTTCTTCCAGGCGCTGAGAGATGCGCTGGTGATGAAGTGTAAGTGTCACGGTGTGTCTGGCTCCTGCTCCATACGGACCTGCTGGAGAGGCCTGCAGGACCTGAAGGACATCGCCATGGACCTGAAGACCAAGTACTTGTCAGCCACCAAGGTGGTGCACAGACCCATGGGTACGCGCAAGCAGCTGGTCCCCAAGGACATCGACATCAGGCCCGTCAGAGAGAACGAGCTGGTCTACCTGCAGAGCTCTCCGGACTTCTGTGCCAAGAACGACAAGCTGGGTTCCGTCGGCACCCAGGACAGGTGAGACTGTTACAGGAACTGTGTGTATGTGTGTGTGCATTTGTATTTATTAAGGATCCCCATTAGCTGCTGCCAGCAACATTAAATTTAAAATATTACATGACATTACATTTCATAACACTTTTCATAACACATTAAGTGTGTGCCCTCATGCCACTACTCTACTACCACATACAGTGGGGAGAACAAGTATTTGATACACTGCCGATTTTGCAGGTTTTCCTACTTACAAAGCATGTAGAGGTCTGTAATTTTTATCATAGGTACACTTCAACGGAATCTAAAACAAAAATCCAGAAAATCACATTGTATGATCTTTAAGTAATTAATTTGCATTTTATTGCATGACATAAGTATTTGATCACCTACCAACCAGTAAGAATTCTGGCTCTCACAGACCTGTTAGTTTTTCTTTAAGAAGCCCTCCTGTTCTCCACTCATTACCTGTATTAACTTCACCTGTTTGAACTCGTTACCTGTATAAAAGACACCTGTCCACACACTCAATCAAACAGACTCCAACCTCTCCACAATGGCCAAGACTAGAGAGCTGTGTAAGGACATATGGGATAAAATTGTAGACCTGCACAAGGCTGGGATGGGCTACAGGACAATAGGCAAGCAGCTTGGTGAGAAGGCAACAACTGTTGGCGCAATTATTAGAAAATGGAAGAAGTTCAAGATGACGGTCAATCACCCTCGGTCTGGGGCTCCATGCAAGATCTCACCTCGTGGGGCATCAATGATCATGAGGAAGGTGAGGGATCAGCCCAGAACTACACGGCAGGACCTGGTCAATGACCTGAATAGAGCTGGGACCACAGTCTCAAAGAAAACCATTAGTAACACACTACGCCGTCATGGATTAAAATCCTGCAGCGCACGCAAGGTCCCCCTGCTCAAGCCAGCGCATGTCCAGGCCCTTCTGAAGTTTGCCAATGACCATCTGGATGATCCAGAGGAGGAATGGGAGAAGGTCATGTGGTCTGATGAGACAAAAATAGAGCTTTTTGGTCTAAACTCCACTCGCCGTGTTTGGAGGAAGAAGAAGGATGAGTACAACCCCAAGAACAGCATCCCAACCGTGAAGCATGGAGGTGGAAACATCATTATTTGGGGATGCTTTTCTGCAAAGGGGAGAGGACGACTGCACCGTATTGAGGGGAGGATGGATGGGGCCATGTATCGCGAGATCTTGGCCAACAACCTCCTTCCCTCAGTAAGAGCATTGAAGATGGGTCATGGCTGGGTCTTCCAGCATGACAACGACCCGAAACACACAGCCAGGGCAACTAAGGAGTGGCTCCGTAAGAAGCATCTCAAGGTCCTGGAGTGGCCTAGCCAGTCTCCAGACCTGAACCCAATAGAACATCTTTGGAGGGAGCTGAAAGTCCGTATTGCCCAACGACAGCCCCAAAACCTGAAGGATCTGGAGAAGGTCTGTATGGAGGAGTGGGCCAAAATCCCTGCTGCAGTGTGTGCAAACCTGGTCAAGACCTACAGGAAACGTATTATCTCTGTTATTGCAAACAAAGGTTTCTGTACCAAATATTAAGTTCTGCTTTTCTGATGTATCAAATACTTATGTCATGCAATAAAATGCAAATGAATTACTTAAAAATCATACAATGTGATTTTCTGGATTTTTGTTTTAGATTCCATCTCTCACAGTTGAAGTGTACCTATGATAAAAATTACAGACCTCTACATGCTTTGTAAGTAGGAAAACCTGCAAAATTGGCAGTGTATCAAATACTTGTTCTCCCCACTATATCTACAATACAAAATCCATGTGTATGTTCCCTGTTCTGAGCCAATTTAAATTTTCTGAGGTCCCTCTTTGTGGCACCTGACCACACGTCTGAACAGTAGTCCAGGTGCGACAAAAGTAGGGCCTGTAGGACCTGCGTTATTGATAGTGTTGTTAAAATGACGTTTATTATGGACAGACTTCTCCCCATCTGTTTTGACCATTACAGTTAACATCCAGGGTTACTCCAAGCAGTTTAATCACCTCAACTTGCTCAATTTCCACATTATTTATTACAAGATTTAGTTGAGGTTTAGGGTTTAGTGAATGATTTGTTCCAAATACAATGCTTTTAGTTTTACAAATATTTAGGACTAACTTATTCCTTGCCACCCATTCTGAAACTAACTGCAGCTCTTTGTTAAGTGTTGCAGTGATTTCACTCGCTGTAGTAGCTGCCGTGTATAGTGTTGAGTCATCCGCATGCATAGACACACTGGCTTTACTCAAAGCCAGTGGCATGTCATTAGTAAAGATTGAAAAATGTAAGGGGTCTAGACAGCTGCCCTGGGGAATTCCTGATTCTACCTGGATTATGTTGGAGAGGCTTCCATTAAAGAACACCCTCAATTTTCTGTTAGACAGGTAACTCTTTATCCACAATATAGCAGGGGGTGTAAAGCCATAACACATACGTTTCTCCAGCAGCAGACTATGATCGATAATGTCAAAAGCCGCACTGAAGTCTAACAAAACAACTCTCACTTTTTATCATTAATTTCTCTCAGCCAATCAGTCATTTGTGTAAGTGCCGTGCTTTTTGAATGTCCTTCCCTATAACCGTGCTGAAAGTCTGTTGTCAATTTGTTTATAGTAAAATAGCAATGTATCTGGACCATAACTATTTTTATCAAAAGTTTACTAAGGGTTGCTAACAGGCTGATTGGTCTGCTATTTGAGCCAGTAAAGGGGGCTTTACTATTCTCTGGTAGCGGAATTACTTTTGCTTCCCTCCAGGCCTGAGGGCACATACTTTCGAGTAGGCTTAGATTGAAGATATGGCAAATAGGAGTGGCAATATCGTCCACTATTATCCTCAGTAATTTTCCATCCAAATTGTCAGACCCCCTGATAAATAACAACAACCAATGTTCACCTCTTCCACACTCACTTTCCACACTCACTGTGTGTGTGTGTGTGTGTGTGTGTGAGAGAGTGTGTGCGCGCGCGCACTATGTGCTTTATGTTCATAAAAGCATGGTGTCATGTAGGGCTGTTGCGGTGACTGTATTACCGCCACACCGGTGGTCACGAGTCATGAAGGCAGTCAAATTCCATGTGACCGTTTAGTCACCGTAATTAGGCTTCTCCAAGCTCTGATGCTGCTGATGGTCATTAGTAGCCTACCAAACTTGCTAACTGTCTGGTACTCAGCACTCTATTGTCCCTCTAATCACTCTGACATCAATGCAAATGTAATCGAAAATCTAATCAAACACTTCATGAGAGCCCATGAGGTCATGTTGCGCAACATTTCTATAGGCTATGCAATTGAGCGAGAAAACAGAGTGATGACCTCTATTAAAAAGAGGAGGATCCCATCAGCTTTCTATAGGCTAGGCCTACTATATTTATTTCTCAACTTTCCTAATATTAAGCAAATATTAAGCACATTGCTTATCTTTACAACAGGAGTATAGCCTACCTGGCTGGCATGAAAATGAACCACAGGAAAAGCGTCCTCCATTCGCTATTTAAGTGCAGAGATTACATTTATTTTTTCCCATGCCCCTGTTTCGAGACAGGTGCATGATAATGGTCCATTGTAATCAAACGAATTTCACATATACACTGCTCAAAAAAATAAAGGGAACACTAAAATAACACATCCTAGATCTGAATGAATGAAATAATCTTATTAAATACTTTTTTCTTTACATAGTTGAATGTACTGACAACAAAATCACACAAATATTATCAATAGAAATCAAATTTATCAACCCATGGAGGTCTGGATTTGGAGTCACCTTCAAATTTAAAGTGGAAAACCACACTACAGGCTGATCCAACTTTGATGTAATGTCCTTAAAACAAGTCAAAATGAGGCTCAGTAGTGTGTGTGGCCTCCATGTGCCTGTATGACCTCCCTACAATGCCTGGGCATGCTCCTGATGAGGTGGCGGATGGTCTCCTGAGGGATCTCCTCCCAGACCTGGACTAAAGCATCCGCCAACTCCTGGACAGTCTGTGGTGCAACGTGGCGTTGGTGGATGGAGCGAGACATGATGTCCCAGATGTGCTCAATTGGATTCAGGTCTGGGGAACGGGCGGGCCAGTCCATAGCATCAATGCCTTCCTCTTGCAGGAACTGCTGAAACACTCCAGCCACATGAGGTCTAGCATTGTCTTGCATTAGGAGGAACCCAGGGCCAACCGCACCAGCATATGGTCTCACAAGGGGTCTGAGGATCTCATCTCGGTACCTAATGGCAGTCAGGCTACCTCTGGCGAGCACATGGAGGGCTGTGCGGCCCCCCAAAGAAATGCCACCCCACACCATGACTGACCCACCGCCAAACCGGTCATGCTGGAGGATGTTGCAGGCAGCAGAACGTTCTCCACGGCGTCTCCAGACTCTGTCACGTCTGTCACATGTGCTCAGTGTGAACCTGCTTTCATCTGTGAAGAGCACAGGGCGCCAGTGGCGAATTTGCCAATCTTGGTGTTCTCTGGCAAATGCCAAACGTCCTGCACGGTGTTGGGCTGTAAGCACAACCCCCACCTGTGGACGTCGGGCCCTCATACCACCCTCATGGAGTCTGTTTCTGACCGTTTGAGCAGACACATGCACATTTGTGGCCTGCTGGAGGTCATTTTGCAGGGCTCTGGCAGTGCTCCTCCTGCTCCTCCTTGCACAAAGGCGGAGGTAGCGGTCCTGCTGCTGGGTTGTTGCCCTCCTACGGCCTCCTCCACGTCTCCTGGTAGCGCCTCCATGCTCTGGACACTATGCTGACAGACACAGCAAACCTTCTTGCCACAGCTCGCATTGATGTGCCATCCTGGATGAGCTGCACTACCTGAGCCACTTGTGTGGGTTGTAGACTCCGTCTCATGCTACCACTAGAGTGAAAGCACCGCCAGCATTCAACAGTGACCAAAACATCAGCCAGGAAGCATAGGAACTGAGAAGTGGTCTGTGGTCACCACCTGCAAAACCAGTCCTTTATTGC